CACAAAAATTGTGAATCAGGGTCCTTTTTTTTTTTTTTTTCAATTGAGATGAATAGTCGGAAGGCTAAGGCTGACTCAGTTGCATCAACTCTCAGAGAATAATGGCCGTCCTGTTGGGAAGAAGTTCCCCACACCCGTGCCCTGCGGTCACTCCATCAGAGGCGGTGGCCTTGCCTGCAGTTTGTTACTGAGCCCATCGGGGAGTGATGCTGCCGGGCGCTGAGGGTTCTGTGTCTGCTCAGCTGGATTCTGTCGGAGGAAACCATCTCTGTCGCCTGTCACGGTGTGGAGTGGCTGGAGGAAGGACTTCGATGAGTGAGTGGACAGCAGCTGAAAGTCTGAGCTGCTGAGAGGCAGCGCATGGGGGAGAACGTGGCCACCCCTGCTGTCTCAGCAGTCTGGTGGACAGGATGGTGTGCACTGCATCATGGGAGCACTGAAGTCTACATTTCACAGTTTCCACGTCATAGCCATTCCTTTAGGTCATCTCTGTGCTTGTTTTTATGTTTTCCAATTTCAGATCAAAGACAAGTGTAGATCTTTATCCCCGGCTTTTATCTGTGGCAGCTTGTATGCAGGAGCCTGTTAAATGCCACACGACGTGCCCTGGAAAGGACGCGAAATGACAGGTTCTCTAATAGATCGCATCACATTTTAGAGATTATAATTTTTTTTTTATTTTGGCAGGGATATACCAAGCCTTTTACCAATAAGGTGTTTTTTGTTTGTTTGTTTTATGAATTTAATCCACAATAAGCTTGTATTTCATTTGATAGAAACTTCATGCTGATCTGGCAGGACTGAGAGGGCTGAGGTCCGCGCTGGAGCTGGGGTGTTAGCAGACGTGCTAGGCTGGGCGTGCTGTGCTCACAGGCCGTCCGTCCTCTGTGCCTGCTCAGAGCCGCCACTCCCCTCCCTGCAGAGCCCACTGCGGAGGGAGACTCAGGGCACCGCTCCGTGGGGTGCGCCCTCAGCCCAGCTCGTCCATATTGTTGTTCATTTTCACCCGAGGGTGTTTCTCCATTGATCTTTCAGAGAGAGTGGAAGGGAGAGGAAAGACAGTGAGAACATCCTTGTGAGAGAAACACACCGATTGTTGCCTCCTGCACACGCCCTGACCAGGGCCGAGCCAGAGAGGAGCCTGCAGCCGGAGTGCATGCCCTTGACCTGACTCGAATGCGGGACCTTTCAGTCCACAGGCTGACGCTCTCCGCTGAGCCATGCCGGCCAGGGCCCAGGCGTTCCCTCTCGGTCACCTCCGTTTCACACGCTCTCCCCTGGCTGCCCCTGCGGGGAAGGGGGGTCTCGGCTCCTCAGTGCTCCCTGGGAAGGGTGTGTGCACTCAGACCCCCGCTCTTCATGACCAAAGCGAACCGCACACGAGGTCTTGCCTAAGATCTAAGGAGGCGAGACGGGGCCTTCCTGGATCTGGGGAGGAGAGGAGCGTGGAAGCTGCTGGTGGCGCTCAGTCCTGCCTCCCGGAACCTTCCTTCCAGCACAGTGGCCACTTAGGTGAGCACTGCCGACCGGGAGGCCAGCGAGGGGCCAGGTGGCCACAGTGAGCGAGGTCGGAACCGTAAAGGCCTCTTTAGGATGAGGCCGTTCACCAATGAACTGACAACACGTTAGAAACGCTGTATAGACTAACCGGTGTGGTTCAGTCGTTAAGAGTGTCGGCCTGCAGACTGAAGGGTCCCGGGTTCGATTCCGGTCAAGGGCATGTACCGTGGCTGCGGGCACATCCCCAGTAGGAGGTGTGCAGGAGGCGGCTGGTCGATGTTTCTCTCTCATCGGTGTTTCTAACTCTATCTCCCTTTCCTGTCCTCTCTGTAAAAAAAAAAAAAAATCTATAAAATAAAAAATAAAACACACTGTATAACTAGCATTCATTGTGGGAAAACAATGTGAAAAGGCAAAGGCATGTGTAGGAATAAACATGTTTTGCAGTGTTTCTTACCATTGTTCCTAAACACGATGTGATGTTGTACTGGAGCAGAAATTATAAACCATATGTTAGTTAATATTTGCACCTTTTTATTCATATGGTTTATGTAAACTGCTAATGCATTTAATATGTCAGATCCGTGGTTTTCTGTGAATATTTTATAAGCATATTATGGTTTTATGGTTAACATTAATTTGAAATATCGCTTTAACAGTAAAAGGAACTTCCCTGATGTCTAATTTTGTATTAATCATGTTAACACAACAACTACATATTCTGTAAACTATGCAGTAGCTGAAATAATACATTTCCCGTTTAACATTATGATGTTTTTAGCCAAAAAACCCCACCCACATTTAATTCTATATAGTTTTAATAATAATTAAATAATAATCTGGTGGATCAAGACGTTTTTTAGTTGTACAAGGAAATTGATTTCCTTTTCTCTTACGTTATGAAGTTTAGAGTTTCTGCTTTGAGTGGACATCTTGCATATGCATTAGTGGGGCGCATCTAGTAAGTTAGAAGTAATAAGACACATTATTAACTGAAGTCCACAGTTGACACCAGGATGCACTCTGGGTTGTAAAGGTCCGTGAGTTCTAACAAATGCATAATGTCATGCACCCACCGACCATCATATAATACAAAATAGTTTCACTGCTAAGGGTGTATTTATTATTATTATTATATTTTTTTTTTACGTATTGTCACGTTTTCGTCAGAAAACACATTTTAAAAATGGCTCAGTGGTTAAGCGTCGACCTACGAAGCAGGAGATCACGGTTCGATTCCCGGTCAGGGCACAGGTCCGGGTTGAGGGCTTGATCCCCAGTGTGGGGCGTGCAGGAGGCAGCTGTGACCCATGAGTCTCTCGCCTCATGGCTGTTGCAGGGGTTACCCACTGTGTGAATCTGTCCTAAAATAGTATGGACGGGTGGCTTAACCCAGAAACCTCCTTCCGCACAGCTCTGGAGGCTGGGCGTCCAGGCCCAGGGCCAGCAGGTTCGGTTCCTCAGAGACCTTTCTCCTTGGACTGCAGGTGGCCTCCCAGGATCTTTCCTCCATGAACATGACTCTCTGTGTCCACATTTCCTCCTCTGATCAGGACACCGTGAGGCCCCATTCATCGGAGCTCATTAATGCCCCCGCTGTAGAGCACACGTCTCCAGTCCAGGCATCTTCTCAGGTCCTAGGAGTTAATACGTCAGGTGTGGATCTAGGGAACTCGCTTCCGTCTACATCACCCATTGAAATTAGCGCTTTAACTTGTGCCTGGCAAACGGCCAGCCGGTGCGGACCGGTGAGGATGAGCGCGGAGGGGGAAGGCACAGGAGAGGGCGTCCTGTTTCTGCTCCAGAGGATGAGATCGCCACGCCGTGAACGCCGCTGGCGATGGGGAAGGTGCTTTTACACAAAGAGATGACACAGGTTTTCCACTTGGATGGCTCAGCAGGGTCCTCCCCAACCATACTTCTCTTCATCTTTGGCATCTGACATAAAAGATAAGCTGTGGACGGCATTGTTCTAGAAAAAGGATTCCCATTTTTCACTTCGAAATCACAGGTCATGGGAGCTGGGCGATGAAGTATCTTCTGGTGCGCTCTCTTCCGAAGACAAATACTGTTGGTTTAACATAATTTAGTGTCAGGTATAATAACTCGGGGTGAGATACAACTTTCTATTTTGAATTGCTTGAAAGATGATGTATGTGGGATTATGTGGAAAACAATACATCCAGTGAAGTATTTTATTTCTGTTAGCAAGGGCTTTATGGTTATGGAGGGAAATAAACAGGCTTGTTATGTGTGCTCTTGAGCACATCTCATCGAATTTATATTAATAAAAACAAAAGAACTGTCATCAAGTCGTACGTGGGATGGGAATATTAATCAATTTACTGCCATCTTTGAAAGAGGCGAAAGGTGTATACGATTCTGTTTTGTAATGTGTGCCTGTTAATGTCCTCCAACGTGCGCCCTGTGGAATTATGGTTAGGAGGTAATCTCTCATGTTTACAGAGCTGAAAAAAATTGCTTTTTCTTTGATCCCTCCTGCTATTCCCATGTAATTTTTCTTCAGGGAGAATGATTAAGGGTTCAAAGCACATGACCTATCTTAAAGAATACTTTTATTATTTCATAATTTAATGCTGACTGAGACATGTCTAGTTCTGCATTTGTAAGCACACAGTTTAACTTCTGTCATCTGATGAGATGGAAGTGATAGAGGTTGTTTTTAAGAAAACACTTTTTTAACTTTAAATCATTGCATGTAAGATAGAAATGATGAAAATACTGAAGGCATTTTTTATTGTTCCACTCTGAAGGCATAAGTATTTCTAGTTAAAATTTATTTTGAAATACACTTGTATTTTCATTTGTTTGAAAACCTGTAAAATGCGCACTTCTTTAAGGAACTATGACAAGTGCCCTGAAGACTATAAATTGCAAATTACTCGCCTTTTAATTACCACAGGTTTTGTAATTCTAGAGTATGGTGGGCATTAACCTTTAATAAATGCCACCGCTTCCTTCCTATTAGCGTTCATTCAGAAGTGAGGGATTAATCCCTGAGTTCCAGGCGATAGGCAGTGAATACAAGATAGCTGAGAAAGTGTATTCAGAGGCACCTCTCCCCGTGAGCGTCAGGCTAGGACGCTTTGCTGCTGGAGTTCAGATGGCTCCCTGGACGCGGGGAGCAAGGGGTTGGTTGGTTCTGCCCTCGGGGCCTTTGCCTCTGGGTTCTGAAGGATGTGTAGGAGTTTGCTGGGAAGTGGTAGGCCATGTCCGTGAGAGGCCCGGGGAAAGCAGGTGGGTCTGAGGGCCAGGGGCCCCGGGAGGGGAAGGGGAGGCAGAGGCTGTGGCACAAGGCGACGCTGGGGAAGGACCCGGAGCCACAGGCTGATGTTCTCCACGCTGAAGATTCCCTGCGGGGCGTAAAACGCACCTTTGCCTTCCGTGTTACCTGTCCCTGAGCCTTCAGCCGAGCAGGAAGCGGGTTGGCCCGCGCTGTTTCTGCTCTGGGTGTGATGGACCGTGTGCTTGTCTTGCAGTGCGGTTCAGCAGCTGCAATGGGAAGAGGAAGGTGCGGTACGAGAGCAGCGAGCCCGCCGACTTCAAGGTGGACGAGGACGGCGTGGTGTACGCGGTCCGCAGCTTCCCCCTGTCCCCCGAGCGCGCCCGCTTCCTGGTCTTCGCCCACGACCGAGACACGCAGGAGAAGTGGCAGGTGGCCGTGAGCCTGAGCCCGCGGCCGCCCGCGCCCGAGGCCGCCCTGCAGGTACCGCCCCGGCCCGGCCCGGCCCCAGTCCCGGCCCCAGCCCCAGCCCCGGCCCGGTCCCAGCCCCAGCCGTCTGCAGACCACGTGCCCTGGCTTCCCATCCTGTGATCGGAGGCTGGTGTTTGAATTCTCGCCAGCTTCAGCCCCTTCACTTGTGTTTTGTTGTACTTTCAATCTTTTTTTTTTTTAATATATACTTTATTGATACTTTACAGAGAGAAAGGGAGAGGGATAGAGAGCTAGAAACATCGATGAGAGAGAAACATCCATCAGCTGCCTCCTGCACACCCCCACCGGGGATGTGCCCACAACCAAGGCACATGCCCTTGACCGGAATCAAACCCGGGACCTTTCAGTCCGCAGGCCAAATCCACTGAGCCAAACCGGTTTTGGCTGTATCATTTTTCTTTGAGGCCAGTGCCCAGCTTTCATTGTGAAACGGTGAAACGCTTACCTGGTAAAGGGGAGCCAGGCCACTAGCACAGTGGTCGGCAAACTCATGAGCCAACAGAGCCAAATATCAACAGTACAAAGATTGAAATTTCTTAATTTCAATTTTTAAAACTTAAACTACGTCTAACGCCACTTCTTCAAAACAGACTCGCCCAGGCCGTGGTGTTTTGTGGAAGAGCCACACTCAAGGGGCCAAAGAGCCTCATGTGGCTCGCAAGCCGCAGTTTGCCAACCAGGACACTAGGGTAATAGAAAGTGAGGAGTCACTGGTAGCTCATCGAGGGAAACGTTGCTTTTATTGTTATGATGCTCAGATATTTCCACCGGAGCAGCCATGGCTGGGCCTCATGGGCCACCGGTACTCGGGGACGGGAAAGTGCTGGGTCCCGCAGAGATGGACGCCCCGTGTGCAGAGCGGGCCAGCTCCAGCATCCATCCTGGCTGCCACGGGTTCAGAATAATTACAGCATTAATTCTGTGCGATTTAATAGGGTCATAAATATCTGCGACATCCCTTAGCAGGACGTGCTAGAATTCTCTCGGAATTCAAATTATATTTTCGCACATGGAGATCTGAATTTAATGGACAGGAGCGCATTACCTGAGCCGTGGTTTAAGCTAATGAGAAATAGATCAAAGGGGTCCTTTCCATGTTGCCTCCATAGTAACTGCTATCTAAGGTGGTTTGTAGAACTTGCGGCTGGTTTACCCAACGGGGCCACATAATGAGTTGTTTGGAATTCAGTTTTCCAATGAACAGTTTAGCCTGAAAGTCTTACAGTGCTTTCTATTACTTTTCTTTAAGATTTTAAAACTGATTTTGAGAGAGAGAGAGAGAAAGAGGAAGGGAGAGGGAGAGAGTGAGAAAGGGAGACAAACATCGATGTGAGAGTGAGACATGGCCCGCTGCCTCCTGCACGCCCCCTGCTGGGGATGGGGCCCGCAGACTGCACATGAGCTCTTCCTGGAATCGAACCAGCAACCCCTCGGTGCACAGAGGCGGCCAGCTTGCGGAACCATGTGGCCCAGGGCGCCTATGTTCACAGGGGGCGAGGAAAGGGCCTCCGGGCTTCCATTCTTGTTGGTAATAAACGATGCCAATGCTCCCAGGTCCCGGACCCTGGGTCCTCTCCGAAAGCGTCCCCCGGTCCTCAGGTTTGTCTTCCCGTGTCTCCACGCACAGGGGTCGCCAGGCATCGAGGAGATCGTGTTTCCGCGGCAGCCGGCCGGCAGCGATGGGCACCTGCGGAGGCAGAAGAGGGACTGGGTCATCCCCCCCATCAACCTGCCCGAGAACTCGCGGGGCCCGTTCCCGCAGGAGCTGGTCCGGGTGGGTGCGCGGCTCTCCTTGTCTCGGTGGCGGAGCAGGGGGGTGTGGGGAGGATCTGGTCTGTCCTTCACCAGGTGGGGTTGACGGCATGTATCTACTGAAAATACTTTTTAAAATTTAATTTAATTTTTTAATATGTTTTTATTGACTTCAGAGAGGAAGGGAGAGGGAAAGAGAGAAACATCAGTGATGAGAGAGAATCGCTGATCAGCTGCCTCCTGCACACCCCCTCCTGGGGATCCAGCCCACAACCCAGGCCTGTGCCCTTTGCCAGAATCAAACTCAGGACCCTTCAGTCCTCAGGCCGATGCTCTATCCACTGAACCACACCGGCTAGGCCTACAAATACTTGTCACAAATGCGATGCCTTACGTAGTGCGGAGCCTCTTCTCATTTTGACTGTCCTCCCGGAGGGTTGTTTGTGGGGTGGAGCTCCTGAGCCCCGTGGAGGGTGAGGTTTGTCCAGAGGCGCAGACAGACGCCCCGAGTTGGCCATCCGCAGCCATCAGCCCTCTGCCAGGAAGCACAGGCCCCGTGGCGTCCCTGTTCTGACCCCGCTGCCCCTCACCGTGGCCTCTGCCCTCTGCAGAGAGCGCTGGGCCACAAGGAGAGGGAAGGGGCACTCGCTGCTGGAGATGCCAGCGCTAAGTGCATGGGAGGGTTTTTAAGAGAAAAACAAATGACCTCGACACCATTAACAGAACCCCAGGGGCTGAAAGAAAACACGTGCATCGGAGGAGTCCGGTTTTATTTTGTTCTCTAAATGCACACCATCAGATGTGTGCATTTAGAATATGACAGTTCTGTGTGTAGCCAAATTAGCAACCCATTTTTGTTTTTTTAATTTAGTTTTGTGGGTTTTTTTAAAAATATATTTTATTGACTCTTTACAAAGAGGAAGGGAGAGAGAGAGCGAGAAACATCGATCAGCTGCCTCCTGCACACCCCCCACTGGAGGTGTACCCGCAACCAAGGCACATGCCCTTGACCGGAATCGAACCAGGGACCCCCCCCAGTCCGCAGGCCGACGCTCAATCCACTGAGCCACACCGGCTTCGGCAGCAGCCCATTGTTTATTACAAAAGGAAAATAAGGGGAAATCATTGTATTTTCACTTATGAGAAAATAAATGTTCCTGTAGATGATGGATTTAGCATTCCAGTCCATGCCTACTGAGAGCTGTGTTTTTTAATGAGTCATTTTCTGGGTTGTCGATGCTATTGTGTTGCACATTATAATTCAATTTAACAGCGAATGACATGCTCGCTAAGTAAAGGTGTGTCTTGTTTCCCTACCTTAATGGAGAGTGAGAAACAGTGATGGTGCCTTACCTTTTAAGAGATAAACCAGATTCTGTTTTTTGGACGGAGCATCTGTACCTAATGCCTGCGTCTCCCTCCTGTCCCTGCCAGCAGGACGGCGCTCCGGGCCCTCTCTCTGCTCTGCCCCTCCCCCTGTCCCTGGCCTGAGCCAGGAGGACTCCCATATAGACTGACTTGTTCTGGGAGTTGTGGGCCTTGGAGGAGGAGGAAGTGAGCCCATGAGTGTAATCCTGGAGAGGCTAGAAATATGTTTTAAAATCACGTCTTTTGTGATTTGTTATCAGGAAGGAGTTTGGTGTATAAGTGCCACCTGGAAAAGACGGAAATCTCACTTGTAGGACCACCATCACCCTAGCGCTCCCCAGCGAGGCCGTTTCACACTCTGAACGACGGCTTCTTACCCTAACTGGTGCCCACAGTCAGCCCTGCTTGCCCATTAGGCTGTTATTTGGGGAATTCCCAGGAGAGAGGCCGGTGCTGCTTAAATGCCCACGGCCCTTCATGTGGACGTCGGCCGTGGGGCCGTGCTGTCGGATGTTAGCATCGTGTCTGTCCCGGGTGATGGGGCATCTCTTTTTGAAGCCTGTCACCAAGAAAGCCAGGCAAGGGGCAGGCTGGGAGCGTTCCCTGGGTTTCGGGGAGGCAGGGTGCAGGTTTGTAACTGCAAAGGGCATGAGGCGTGGCACGCTGTGTCTCAGGTGACACGCTCACGTGGGCTCTCGTCTAACGGGATTGCCTTCTGGACCCGCAGATCCGGTCCGACAGAGACAAAAACCTCTCCCTGCGGTACAGCGTCACTGGGCCCGGCGCCGACCAGCCTCCCACCGGCATCTTCATCATCAACCCCATCTCCGGGCAGCTGTCCGTGACCAAGCCGCTGGACCGGGAGCAGATCGCCCGCTTCCATGTAAGACTTCGGCGCTGACATTCTGTGCGTGCAGTCTTCTCCCTGTGCGCCTCTCGGGTCCTTTTTCAAATGTGAATCTACACTAAGAGAAGAGAAACATGCACATTAACCTTCCCTCCGCAACACCCACCAATTATTGAATTATATTCCATCCAAAGACTGCAGACCTACTTTTGCCTCACCCTGTATAAGTTGGACACTGATTTTTCCGACGTAGCAATAGCGCTGGGCTGAGTATTTTCAGATGCAAGGATGACCTAATATGAAAATGTCAGTTCCAGGAAGTCTGCATCTGTTTTCTGTTTGTTTTTTCCTGGTCATACATGTACATTTTCCTGGAACAAGATTTCAACCATTTTTTTTTTCATGAGTTTAAATATAGAAACCTAAATTGATCTTTATTACTTCTTTGATTTCCACATGAACAACTGAAACGTTTGATGAAATTGCTATTTTTTAAAGGAATACGTGCATGTTGCAAAAACTTTTCGAATAAAGCAGGAATAAAACTTTTCAAATACTACAGTATTGATAAGAAAGTGAAAACAATTTGTAATCCTAGTTTGTACAAATAACGGTTATCTGAAACACGTTGATGCCATCCTGTAAGGTGTTTTGCTGCAGATAAATTCACAAATGTTTTCTTTCAAAATTAGAACCATTCTGTGAAACTAGCCTTTGCCACTTCACTGTCATAACATTTAACATCTTCTCCTGTCAGTGAAATTATTTATTTGCCCTAGCTGGTTTATCTCAGTGGATAGAGCATCCACCTGTGGACTGAAGGGTCCCGGGTTCAATTCCTGTCAAGGGCACATGCTTGGGTTGCAGGCTCAAACTCCAGTAGGGGCTGTGCCGGAGGCAGCTGATCAGTTATTCTCTCTCATCATTGATGTTTCTCTCTATCCCATCCTTTCTGAAATCAAAGAAAATTTATATGTATATATATATATATATATATATATATATATATATATATATATATATGTAAAATTATTTACTTAAATCAAGCATGTCAAACTCGTGCTGGGCCTGCCAGCCATGAATTGGGCATGCCTGATTTAAATAATACACTTTGATTGCTCCAAAGTATTTAGTTGAATGACTGTGACATAATGTTAACACCTATTGGTGGTTGTCGGTTGCCGGTAGTCGGTAACCTCTACACAAGAGAGGGTGGGCTGGAGGTGCTATAACGTGGTAGAGCGTGTCCCCCAGAGAGCTGCTGCCCGCATCCTCCTTGCGGGAGCATCAGGGAGCATCCCGTTAAAAATAACTCCGTGGAACGCTGGGACTGGCGCACAGGATGAAACGGGTCTCTGTGCCAGAGAAAAGATGCTGACGATATCCTTCCAAGAGTAGCTGAGTGATTATATTTGTTTAAAAAGAAAAAAATGTCTAGAATACTTTCAAAGCGAAGACCTTGAGCTTGAGAGAACAATGGTCTTACGCGCCCATGCACTTGTAAGACTCAGCAGTGCTTTTGACAGTTACAGAGACCAAACCTCGTGAGAGAATTCCCTCCGCACACGGATTCTCCCTGGGTGCTCCCCGCTCCCTTGGTCTGTGTGAGTGCTCTGTGCCAGGAGCGCCTTGTTCACCGGAGTCAGCAGGACGGACAGCCAAGGGATCTGGGCGCAGAGGGGTCCTGGCCTTGGACTCGGGCTCTGCCAGCGCCCACAGCAGAGTGGCTCAGTGTTTCCCTTTCAAACGCTGGTCGCTTCTGCCTCCTCGTTTGGGTTCAGTGAGGCAAACCCATCGAACGGGGGGCGCAGTGCCTGGCGAGGGTCCTTGTGGGCCTTGGGCCTTGGTGTGGGGGGGGATGGTCCCTGCTGACAGACGTTGCTGGAAGAGTGGCCCCTGTTCTGCTGGCCGGTGGGTGCCTGGGTGCTGGGGGAGGCAGGCTGAGGGGGGTGCTGTTTCCTCACTTGGATGGGAACGCGCCCACGAGCCCGGGTCCGGGGCTTTTGCAGCTGCGGGCCCACGCGGTGGACATCAACGGCAACCAGGTGGAGAACCCCATCGACATCGTCATCAACGTCATCGACATGAACGACAACCGGCCGGAGTTCCTGCACCAGGTCTGGAACGGGACGGTGCCCGAGGGCTCCAAGCCCGGTGAGTGCGCGGGGGCGCCGGGGCCGCGGGAGGGGGCTCCGGGCGTCCCTGGTGCTTTTGGGAAAAGGAAGGTAGCTTCGGGGAAGCTGGGAGAAGAGAGGAAACGGGAAGATGTCGTTCGTTCTGCTTCGCACTCTGTCCCGCCTTCGGTGGAGGAGACGGGCTTTACAGTGTGGCATCCAGAGGATGGTCCTTCCTGCTCAGCCCCGCACCCCGGGCCTCTGCCCACCAGGTGCGGAGTGCACCGCAGCCACAGCGGCAGCTCAGGTGCCGGGCAGAGTCCAAAGGGTACTTGGGCCCGGCCGGCGGGGCTTGGGGGTGAGCATCGACCTAGGAACCAGGAGGTCCCAGTTCCATTCCCGGTCAGGGCACAGGCCCGGGTTGTGGGCTCCATCCTCAGTGCGGGGCGTGTAGGAGCAGCTGATCCATGATTCTCTCTCATCATGGATGTTTTTTTGTTTTGTTTTGTTTTTTCTCTCTCTCCTTCTCCCTTCCTCTCTGAAATCAATACAAATATATTTAAAAAATACAACAATAAAATATACTTGATTCCGACGAGGCCGGTTTGGCTCAGTGGATAGAGTTTCAGTCTGAGGACTGAAAGGTCCCAGATTTCATTCCGGTCAAGGGCATGTACCTTGGTTGCGGGCACATCCCCAACGGGGGGTGTGCAGGAGGCAGCTGATCGATGATTCTCTCTCATCGATGTTTCTAACTCTCTGTACCTCTCTCTCTTCCTCCCTATAAAACAATATATTAAAAAAATATATGTATATATATATTTTTTTTAAAAAGAACTAGATATCTTTAAAAAATATATATATAGTTAATTTTATAAAATTTATATATATATATATTTGGTTCCTGGGGCCAGCTGATGTGGTAGACCAAAAGCGGACTGGAAAACACTGCCACCGTCGGTCACTTCCTTTCGGGAGACTCTCAGGTCTCCCGCTGCCCCGGCGGTGAGCTGGGGTCCGGGTGACCCCACTGCCGTGCAGCACTTGCCCAAAGCCTCCTGGCATGAGGTGTGACTAAGGCTTCGAGTCTTACCCCGAGTCCACTGTGGGCGCAGGCTCGGGGGCCAGCCCAGGAGGCCTCTGACGTGAGCACCAGTGGGTGGGAGGGGACAGGACATGTTTGCCAGCCGTGGTGTTGGGAGAGATTTCATTCGCTGTATCGCTGTGCGTTGTGTTTTTTTCCGATTTACAATGCCTCCCCACTCACAACGGTGCTGTTACCGCCGCCATCAGTGCCGGCATGTGCAGCTCCCTGTGCTGCACACGCCACACAGATCTGACCAAAGCGCTTCCCGCTGGTAATTTTCTCTCGGCCCAGAGAAGACGTGGAAGTGGGGCTGGGGCGCAGGAGTGGGGTGGTGGGGGGCCTGCAGGAAGCTCAGCCTTCGGGGGCGCCCGCGTCCCAGTGCAGACGAGGCTCCGTGACAGGGAGATGCGGGCCGTGAGCTGCAGCGCGGGCAGGTGTCCGCAGAGCACACGGCCTGCCGTGCCTGTTCTCAGGTAACGAGCCCGGGCTGTGTCTGCCTGGGGATGCTGTTTGCTTTTTAGTTATTATGCCTTTGACCATGCACCTCCGTAACCCCAACCACAATGAAAGACTTCGGATGATGGTGAGGAGCGGAGACACTCGTGAGTGTGTTAACTGCGGTGGTTTTGTTCGTTCGAAAGCCTCCCTTCTGGGCAAGCCTTCCTGCTACCACGAGTCTTGAGTGAATTGGCATTGCCATCAACATTTTGGTTCAAGGTTCTGAGACGTTATTTTGCTTTTGCAGCCCCTTCATTCGGTCAGTCAGCCATTTATTCAGTCATTCAGCCAGTGTTTGCAGAGCGTGTGCTGTGTGCTTGGCAGCGGACACCGCCCTGACTGAGCAGCGAGTCCCTGCCCGGTGGGAGCGTAAATTCTGCCAGGGAAGAACAGTCCTGGGCACACGCAGGCAGATGAACAGACTTATGGGGGGCGGGGAGTGTGTAGCGATGACCTGTAACCCAAAAGGTTGTCTTGCTTCGAGGGCCAAGCTCTGGAAAGTGACGGGAACAGTGTGGCCTCGCCTTAGCGCCTTAGTTAATTCTGCAGAAACTGCTCCCTGTGGAAGGGGAGCCACCGTTCAGGCTCCAGGAGGCCTGAGCTGAGGGAGCATGGCGGAGGCGAGGAGAGAGAAATGGGGCGACCCGGCTCTTGTCAACGGCCCAGGGAACAAAGCCAGCGAAAGAGCAGCTCCTTCTCTCGCTGCTCACCGGTACCGCGTGGCCAGCTGGTTGGAGCTGGTTGGACCCAGTGCTTTGCAGATCTCCCTTCCAGTGTCTGATGATGGAAGTCCCTCGAGGTGGGTGCAGCGTTCCGTTAGGCTCCTGGGAAAGGGGAGCCGCCGTGCCTCGCCGGCCAGTGTACGGAGCAGTGACGGTGGCCGGCGAAGGGAGCGCTGGCCATTAGGCCCCGGCTCGCTTCCCCGCAGCCACAGAGAACGAGGGGGGCCGGCTCAGCCTGCCATTCCCAATGCTACTCCGTGAGGAGAAGGCGGGTCCGAGGGGAGGAGCCGGGGCCGGCATCCCTGTCGCTAAGGGCCCCCGTCCCCCCGGTCAGTTGCCGTCTTCCTAAAGGACGGTCTGAGGTGATCCCTTATTTAATCGATAGTGAACTTGTCTTCAAAGTGACGGAGAAAGGGAGTCTTTATAAATGTACAGATGTTTTACAATGTTCCCTTCAAGTAACGAAACCATGGATTCTCTTCTATGAAGTGCCCGGCTGGCGTGGCCCCGTGGTTGAGCTTTGCCCTGTGAACCAGGTCTCGGTTGGATTCCTGGTCAGGGCACATGCTCAATCCTCAGGAGGGCGAGTGTAGGAGGCAACCAATGCATGATTCTCTCTCACCATTGATTTCTCTCTGTCTCTCTCTGCTTCTCCCTCCTTTCCTCTTTGAAATCAATAAACCTATTTAAAAATAATAATAACAAAATAAAGTGAGTACTCTTTTTTTAACTTTTAAAAAAATATGTTTTATTGATTTTTTACAGAGAGGAAGGGAAAGAGATAGTTAGAAACACTGATGAGAGAGAAACATCGATCAGGTGCCTCCTGCACACTCCCCACTGGGGATGTGCCCGCAACCAAGGTACATGCCCTTGACCGGGATCGAACCTGGGGCCTTTCAGTCCTCAGGCCGACACTCTATCCTCTGGGCCAGACCGGTTTCAGCAGTACTCTTTGTATGAATAGTGTTTTTAGTCAAGTCTGTGGATGAAGTACTTGCTTTGAAAAGGTGGGCTTGAGGTTGAACGCAGAGGCAAACAGGCGGCTGGTTGGGAGACGCTGAAATGCAGGGCACCTGTTCACGCTCGTGTGTGCTGTGTCCAGGAACGTACGTGATGACGGTCACCGCCATCGACGCCGATGACCCCAACACCCAGAACGGGATGCTGAGGTACCGCATCCTGTCCCAGGCGCCCAGCACCCCCTCGCCCAACATGTTCACCATCAACAACGAGACGGGCGACATCATCACCGTGGCGGCCGGACTGGACCGAGAGGTGAGCCTCGCACGGCCATCTTTCTGTTCTTAACCTCCCAGGAGCACTGCATGGCCCGTGGTTTGTCTCCGGGTAACGGTGCATCTGCAGTGCTACTCATGGCTCATTAGATCCCACGTCTGTGAGGTCATGTGCTAGCTGTCTTTCTCTGGCTGGCTTATTGCACTCCGCATACAGGAAGCACTTCTCAGCTGAGTCCCCTTGGTCAGAGGGGGGACTCTCAGGGTGGGAAGTCAGATCCTTGGGGCATCTAACTGCCAGTCCTACAGGGCCAGGCGCTCTGAACACACATGGTAATGCCTTCCTTGCAGAAAGAGAGAGCATTTTACCCGCCAGGCCTCTGGAAATGGGGGTGACGTTGTTTTCCAAGCCGTTTCTTGACTTGAAGAGACACTGTGTTTTAGAGATAACAGTGTTCTTTTATAACTCAGAGCTTTCCAGACTCGCTGGAAGCAATAGGAAATTCCAAGTCTTAGCGACCGATCCCCTCATTTCTGCTACACGGGTAATTGCATGGAATACGCGCTTATGTGATTTTAAAGATCTTTGCAGAGTAGACATTAACATAGAACTGTGTCTCCATATAATATCTGTGTCAGTTTTTTTAATCATTTTTCAAATAAAAGCTCCATTTAAAAAATTCTTTTTAAAGGTTCATCAGTTTCTGCAGAGTTAAATGGAATTTCAATACAAATTTCTATTTTCACTACTTTCAGCAGGGAGGCTGGCCTGAGTGCCCACCAACGTCTCTCCTAACCATGAGGCGTCCCGGGGAAGGGCGCTCTGGGTGGGGAGAGGGAGTCTGTGAGAGTCCTCGCAGCAGCATCAGGGACGGTGTGACGGGTTAAAACTTAAAGTGGCTCAGCCAGCACTCTCCCTTTCTTTCTTTTTGTAATTTAGAACAGTTTGATGCTTTATTTTTTAGGAGGACAGAAGAAACCTGCAATAAATAACTGTTAGAGATTGACGTTTGGGCGGACAGAGACCTGGGGTCACGTGTGGGAGGGGGGCGTGCTCTCCGCTCTGTGCCAGTCCCTGGCCCTCCCACTGGCAGCTGCGCTGGAAGCTGCAGTGTGTCTGTGCTGGCCACGCTCCAAACAGCCCCAGCCTGGCCATTCACAACGTGGGCTATATTGGGAATCAGGGAGGCTGCGCTTCGCAGTGACGGCATATTTGAGTTTGAAGAAGTGAGTTCTGTTGTTCGGAATGCCTTAACGTTTATGGGAACAGCCTATATTTTTATCTGTGCCAATTGCCAGAGGTTTCCCGTGATCTGAGACACTTGTTTGGGTTAGATTTTCCTCATACACACTTCGGCTGCAGACTTCTCAGACAAGCTCAGCACTCCCTCTGGGGCAGTGCGCTGGGTTTGGCTGTCCCCTACAAACTGCAGCAGAATTTTAAAGCAGAGACGCCCATTTGACAATGAGTGTTATGTCCAAAGAGCAGTATGTCAGGTATACAAATGTGAAATACCTACTGTGTTCCAGGGCTAAGAATATAAATGTAAATCCTTTAATTAGATTTTGCCTTCTTTTAAGAATGTAATCCTTCTATATACAGAATGTCCCCAAGAAATGTATACACACTTTAATAACTTATAGCTCAGTTTTGAAAATGAAATGTATTTTAATCATTGTTAAATTAATAAAACGTATTTAATTAATAATTATTAAGTTATTGAGAAATATCTTGGTTTACATAAGCATTTATGGTGAGGTATTATTAAGTAAACTTAATACCTCACCAATTACATGACTACCTTTATAATGATTCAAAGTATGTGTATACATTTTGGGGGGATGCCCTATAGGTGTGAATAACATGTATACATTGAAATAGAAAATATTGTATCAACTCTGTTATAATAGAGTGAATACAAATAGGAAAACACACCCTCAAACATGTAAGCATATGTAATGATTGTGAATGTACGTAGGATCAACTTGCTAAATAACAGGAGGTACCATTGTTGATTCATCAGATTGGCAAACATTAAAGATGGAAAATATCCCAGTTTGGCAAGGGGGTTGAGGAATTGGTTTTGAACACAGTTGATGAGGGTAATATTTCAGTGGGCAGTTTGTAAGTATGTGTCAAATTTGTTGATAGGCCTACTTCTTGACTCAGCAATCCCACCTAAATAAAGAAATCTATACTTATAAAAGAGTAATATACTAATAAGACTGGATAAACCAGACACCCTTCTGGACAAAGCCATGCTGGTGGTGGCAAGGCAGAGGCAGTTAGGGGTGATCAGGCCAGCAGGGAAGCAGTTAGTGGGCAATAAGACAGGCATGCAGAGATGGATAGGGGCGATCAGGCAGGCAGCAGTCCTGGCTTGTGAGAGGGATGTCCAACTACTGTTTAGGCCTGATTCCTGTGAGACCTAAACTGGTAGTTGGACATCCTTCAAGAAGGTCGGATTGGAGAGGTTGCAGGCCACGCTGAATTTCATGCACTGGGCCTATGGTGATATATAAAAGGAAAACATATATACTTAGTGGATTATTTTTGCTTTCTTCTCCCTCTCAAGATTCTTTATTGTCTCTAATCCCCTGAATGGGGTAGAAAGTGACATGTGTTTAAATAAATGGGACCCGAGGGCCTGATCACGTGACTCAGACTCTGAGAAGTTCCCAAGGGAAGGGAGGGTAGAGCCGCTGGCAGTGTCCACTCAGCTGTGAGTTTAACACACCTTCCCATGAGCAGAGAGGAAAGCGCAGGGTTCAGCCTCTTCAGACAGACCAGACCTGCCCGTGGCCAGCTGCAGCCGGCTCCATCGGGGAATCCCGGTGCCGTGATTGGGGTGAATGAGGCTGTGCTAGCCGTGTGGCATGGAGAGCATTTACAACAGGGGAGCAGTTAGTGGGCAATCAGGCCGGCAGGGGAGCAGTTAGTGGGCGATCAGGCTGGCAGGGGAGCAGTTAGTAGGCGATCAGGCCGGCAGGGGAGCAGTTAGGGGCAATCATGTCGTCGTGAGGAGTTGGTTGTATGTGTGTTATCTCCGTCTCCTTTCAGAAAGTGCACCAGTACACGCTGATAATCCAGGCCACCGACACGGAGGGCAGCCCCACCTACGGCCTCTCCAACACGGCCACGGCCGTCATCACTGTGACCGACGTCAACGACAACCCCCCCGAGTTCATGGCCATGTCGGTGAGTACCCGGACCACACAGAGCCCGGCCCCGGGTGTCCCTCGGAGGCTGCGTCCTGAGCGACAAGTGTGTGCGTGGAGGTGGGACTTGCTCAGCCTCACGGCAGACGGGCTACTGACTCCAGCATGTCCTGTCCTTGAACCAGAGTTCTGGTGAGGCACTTGAGCCACTTATTCTCTTGGCCACCAAGTCCGCCAGTGAGGTTGTTAAAATACGCCGCCTCGGAGACACGCTCCCCCCACAACTCTGTGCTGTTAAAACAGCCCTTATATGCTCTGCCTGATGTGGCTCGGTGGATAGAGCGTGGGCCTGCGGACTGAAGGGTCCCAGGTTCCATTCCAGTTAAGGGCATGTACCTTGGTTGCAGGCACATCCCCAGTAGGGAGTGTGCAGGAGGCACCTGATCGATGTTTCTCTCTCATCGATGTTCCTTACTCTCTATATCTCTCCCTTCCTCTCTGTAAAAATCAATCTATATATATAAAAGCCTAAGCAACTATTATGACCGGTCACTATGATGGGTACTGACCACCAGGGGGCAGGCACTCAATGCAGGAGCTGTCCCCTGGTGGTCAGTGCGCTCCCACAGCCAACCTCCTGCGGTCCCTCCCCCTGGACTGGGCAAGATGGCCCCAATCACCTGCCAGGCCGAGGGACCCTACCCATGCACGAATTCGTTTATCAGCCTCTAGTAAAATATATTTTTTAAAAACAACACTTAGGCATGTGTCCGGGTACATGGATGACACGACTGATGTTTATGACCTCATCCACATATAGTGGCCATCTCTAGTGGGAAAATGGTCCCTCGGACTCATCTTGTCCTCCCCCCTCCCACTCATCCCCTGGTCCCCCATTGGAGGCTCATTTTGATGCCATCTCTGGGAAAACAAACCTGTCTGCCGGCTAACATCCCATCATGTTCAACATCGGACAGAACCGCTGCGATTGCCTGCAGAGTGGGGAAACGGAGACGGGGTGGGCCGTCGGGGCAGGGCGGTGGCCCGGGAGACACGCTGTCCTGCGGGGCCGCCCCTCCTCTCACCGAGCTCCCCTGCCCGGCAGTTCTACGGCGAAGTCCCTGAGAACCGGGTGGACGTCATCGTGGCCAACCTGACGGTGACGGACAAGGACCAGCCGCACACGCCCTCCTGGAACGCGGCGTACAGGATCAGCGGCGGGGACCCCACCGGCCGCTTCGCCATCCAGACCGACCCCAACAGCAACGACGGCCTGGTCACCGTGGTGAAGGTGAGGGCGGAGCCGGCCTGGCCCACCCCGTGCTCCTTCCCCGTCTGGTGGCTTTCTCCTTCCCCTGCCGCTCGCTCGGGAGTGGGTGCCCTGGAGGAGCCGCATGGGATGTGATGGCTGTGGTTGAGCCGGCAGAGGGTCCGTCACTGACCTCCGGAGTCCGCTTGTCATGAACTGAGTGTGGACACTGTTCGCCGGGCAGGCCGCCCGCGGCGTGTTGCCAGGAGTGTGGCTCTGAGAGTGACGTGGCGCAGCCTGACGTCTGGGTCCAGTGGGTGGCGATGAGGGGCGTGGCCCCGCCCCTGCTCTTACCCTCCGGTGGCTGGTAGGTCCTGGCTCAGGGACAGGCCAGGAAATGCCACGGAAGTGAGGTGGGGGGAGCAGCCAATAAGAGGGTCCACGCGTTGGAAGGTGTGGAAGGTGCTTTGCTGTGTTTGAATGCTGTTTTTAAGGTTAAGGCTTGATGGGTTTGGTTCTTCTGATCTTTAATGCCCCCTAACCCTCCCTCACCCCCCCCCCAAAAAAAAAGCCCACGCACTGGAAATAAAGGAATATGAACACCAAGTGTAATAACCTGGCAGCGCTAATCAGTGCTGACCCCGAACTCTTAAAGCTCGGGGTCATTCATGAGGAGCAGGGAGCTCCCCTCGCTGTCCATGGTGCCCCGCCCAGCGCTGTCTGCGCCCCCACGGCAGGTGGTCAGAGAGAATTAGGAATCAAAGTTCAGGCTGGTCCCTGGGCTCCTGGTGACTTCCCCGGGGGCAGGAGGCGTCAGGGAACGTGGGAAGTTAATATTGACACAAAAGGTTACGTGAGCATTGCCTTTCTCTATAGTGTTGTTCTTACAGAGCAGGAAAATACGCACAATTCTTTTGGAAAACAACCAGAATTTTTGTTTCCTTGGTAAAAAACAAACAAACAAAAAAACCCCACCACTTTCCTGCTTTATAAGCACTATTATTTTTAAGTGTAAGTGTGCGTGTACTTTAAAATGTATATATCAATATATCAGAGTATGATTGGACTTTCCAGTTGAACAAGTTTAGCTTCATGAGAAGTTAACATTTTCTGGGAGTGGTCTATTTTTCTTTATCACACTCTGGGCACAGCCCCCCCAGAGAGGGACAGCCTTTTCAGAGTTTGATGACAACCCAGACCCTCTCAAGTGACCTATTGATGGAGTATTTTTGAGCAACCATACTGTTTTTAAAAATGATCAAGACTTTAGAGGTAGCTAAATACGTTCAGTCATTATACTACCCGTGTTTCCCCGAAAATAAGACATCCTCCGAAAATAAGACCTAGAGCATCTTTGGGAGCAAAAATTAATATAAGACACTGTCTTATTTTCGGGGAAACAGGGTAGTAACATGTTATTCTGTGACCATAAGTCTTTGAAAGACCCAAGGTGTATAAACATCTCAGCTGGATTGTGAACACCATTGCCATCAAGTGCATCTTTTCCAGAAATCGGAGAAGCTATGGCAGAGTGAACAAAAAAGGAATGTTTTGGAGAAGGCATTGATAGAAGGATAAACCGCAGAATTAATGTATTACTTCCCACCAAACCATGGTTTCCCTTTTTCCCCTCCAGCCAATCGACTTTGAAACAAACAGGATGTTTGTCCTCACGGTTGCTGCGGAGAATCAAGTGCCATTAGCCAAGGGGATCCAGCACCCACCGCAGTCGACGGCAACTGTGTCCGTGACGGTCATTGACGTGAACGAAAACCCTTATTTCGTCCCAAACCCCAAGATCATTCGCCAGGAGGAAGGCCTTCATGCCGGGACCATGCTGACCACGTTCACCGCTCAGGACCCGGATCGATACATGCAGCAGAGCATTAGGTACCCGGTGCCGCTGATGCTGGTCTCGCCACTCCCAGTCTGTTCCAGGCTGTGGTCAGAGGGAGTGCTTGAGCCAGAGATTCCCACTGAACCAGAGCGCCTTATTACAAGAGTATTGTTAATTCCCTGATGAAGTTTCCTCAGTAGATCGATGAATAGAGCACATTGGAGACTTAAGAGTGGATCAGCTCCAGTCTTATTGGAAGAACATGTGCTCTGGCTCCTTTAATTTTTTAAATAGCCTATATAATAAAGCTGTAATATGCAAATTGACCATCACTCCAACATATAAGATGGACGTCCCCTTGTGGTCAAAGATGGTCGCTCCCATGTGGATACAAGATGGCCACCACAAGATGGCCTACAGGGGAGGGAAGTTGTGGGCGATCAGGCCATCAGGGGAGGACAGTTAGGGGCAACCAGGCCAGCAGGGGAGGGCAGTTAGGGGTGACTGGGTCGGCAGGGGAGGGTAGTTAGGGGCAATTGGGCGGCAGGGGAGCAGTTAGGCATTGATCAGGCTGGCAGAGGAGTGGTTATGGGGTGATCAGGCTGGCAGGCAGATGCGGTTAGGGGCAATTAGGCAGGCAGGCTGGTGAGCAGTTGGAAGCCAACAGTCCTGGATTGTGAGTCAGACACCTCTCCAGGGATCCCAGATGGGAGGGTGCAGGCTGGGCTGAGAGACAACCACCCTCACCCCACCCCCGTCCCAGAAACACTTCCCACGTTAACCACGTCTTTCCAGCTGGCACCTGCAAACATGCAAGCTGATTCGCTGGTTGCATTTGGAACCAACCCAGTAACTTATGCTTTTTCCCCCCTAAGTCTCACGCACAAAGAAATAACCGCATCACACTTTCCTTTTGTAGATACACAAAGCTATCAGACCCTGCCAACTGGCTGAGGATAGACCCCGTGAACGGGCAGATCACCACGATCGCGGTGCTGGACCGGGAATCCCCCCACGTGAAGAACAACATCTACAACGCCACCTTCCTTGCCTCGGACAACGGTGCGTCCTTCCAGCCAGGCGCTGTGGCTCCCTGCGTGTCCTCAGAGCGAGGAGAGCCCCTCGGGAACGTGTCCTTCAGACATGAGGTTTTCTGTGAGACCCAATTGTCTAGAAAACTCTCAGGCCCCAGCTCCTGTGTCCACTTCCGCGGGGCACCTGGGACATACCCCACTGCATGACGTCCACCCCTTCCCGGCCGCCTCGTGTGGTCACGACCGGCCTTTGGGGTATTCTGTCCTGCTGCCCGTCAGGCCTTATCACGGAGTCCGCCCTCCGTGGCCCGGACACGGTGGTTCCTGGAGTGGTCTCTGTATTTCTGCTGCCGTCCGTCTGTCCGTCTCGGGCATTTTTCCTCTTTCTAATTCTCTGCCTCTAGTCTGTATGAGCTCGGAAACTCTTTTTTGGGGTGTTCGCTGGGCTGACTGAGGACAGGAGCGTTAGGGTATCGGCTTTGGGACCTCGCTTTGCCTGTCTGTGTGGGTCTTGGCGGGATTGGAAGTAGTTGGGAGGGACCGGCAGCCGTGTTTCTCTGTCCGGGGTGACAGGCCGTCGGTGCGCGTGGTGGTGCCGGCCGCTGCTCAGCGCGGCGTGTGCTTGTCTTCCTCAGGAATCCCGCCCATGAGTGGGACGGGCACGCTGCAGGTCTACCTGCTGGACATCAACGACAACGCCCCCCAGGTGCTGCCCCAGGAGGCCGAGACATGCGAGACGCCGGCCCCCAACGCCATCAACATCACCGCCCTGGACTACGACATCGACCCCAATGCCGGGCCCTTCGCCTTCGACCTGCCCCTGGCTCCCGCCAGCATCAAGAGGAACTGGACCATCACTCGGCTCAATGGTGAGAACGGCTTGTATGTGAGCGCCCGTGCCCTGGAGCCGCCTGGCACCACCAGGCCCTGTCAGGTGCCTTATGACCTTCTCATGTAGTCTGTCTTCACAGCCACTTAACGTGTAAGACCTCAAAGCCCTGCCGAAACCGGTTTGGCTCAGTGGATAGAGCGTCGGCCTGCGGACTGAAAGGTCCCGGGTTCGATTCCGGTCAAGGCCATGTACCTTGGTTGCGGGCACATCCCCAGTAGGAGGTGTGCGGGAGGCACCGATCGATGTTTTTCTCTCGTCGACGTTTCTCTCTATTCCTCTCCCTTCCTCTCTGTAAAAAAATCAATAAAGTATCTTTAAAGAAAAAAACCTCAAAGCCCCGCAGGCCAGCAGGCCTCTACCGGGAAGCACACTGGGACCCGCTTCCTCTGTACCGACACTCGGGCATCCCTTCTGGAAGGTGCTGGCGCGGTCCATCGTACGCGGTGGTCCCTCTCACTGGGCATTTTTTTTTCTTTAACGCAGGTGACTTCGCTCAGCTTAACCTGAAGATCAAGTTCCTGCAGGCGGGCATCTACGACGTGCCCATCATCATCACGGACTCGGGGAACCCGCCCAGGTCCAACAGCTCGGTGCTGCGCGTGAAGGTGTGCCAGTGCGACTCCAACGGCGACTGCACGGACGTGGACCGCATTGTGGGCGCCGGGCTGGGCACCGGGGCCATCGTGGCCATCCTGCTCTGCATTATCATCCTGCTCGGTGAGGCCCTGGGAGCCCCGCCCCGGCCCTGAGGCTATTTTCTTACTTTATTTTTCTTTTTTAATATATTTTTACTGATTTCAGAGAGGACAGGAGAGGGAGGGAGGGAGGAGAGAGAGAAGGAGAGAGGGAGGGAGAGAGAAAAGGAGGGAGGGAGGGAGGGAGGGAGGGAGGGAGGGAGGGAGGGAGGGAGGGAGGGAGGAAAGCATCAGCGATGAGAGGGAATCATTGATCAGCTCCTTCCTGCACGCCTCATACTAAGGATCAAGCCCACAACCCGGGCCTGTGCCCCGACCGGGAATTGAACCGGGACCTCCTGGTTCATAGGTCGACGCTTCACCACTGAGCCACACCGGCCGGGCTGTTTCCGTTTTCTGATGCCAGTGCGTGAGAGCTGTGGCCAACTTTTTTTTTTTCCTTTTTTTTTAATAGGAAATTGTTAGTCCTTAGCTCAAGCACTTATGTTTTGAGTGTGAATTTATGGCACGTACTTGGTGATTTAGGAAAATAAGTATATTCCCTTCCCCTCCCCTGCCCTCCTCTCTCTCCTTCCCCTCTCCTTTCCTTCCCTCTCAGTTAGCAGCCTGCTCCAGCCCCATGGGGATCAAGGGCCTTGTTTCCGAAGGGCCTGGTAAAAAAATGTTTCTAGCTCTCTATCCCTCTCCCTTCCTCTCTGTAAAAGCTCAAATATATTTTAAAATTTTAATATAGATAGATAGATAGATAGATAGATAGATAGATAGATGATAGATTTTCAGACAAAAGGGAGAGGGAGAGAGAGAAACATCAATGGTAACAAAGAATCATTGATCTGCCTCCTGCACACCCCACACTGGGGATCTAGCTGCAATCTGGACATGTTCCCTGACTGGGAATTGATCTGTGACCTCCTGGTTCATAGGTCTTTGCTCAACCACTGAGCCATGGTGGCCACTCACAAAACATTCAGATGGCCAGTCACAAAACAGCAAGCCCAAGGGAAAGGCGGAAACGGTCACTGGCCTGGGCACGGGCGATGGCACTGAGCACAGGCATCCGCCCAGTGAGTTCACGGGCAATGGGTCTGGGGCCCAGGTCTTCACACGCCAACCCCAGAGGCGGGCCCGGCTTTAGTCTCGTCTCCTACTGTGAGGCCAGGGAAGGTGGCGGAGAAAGGTGCCTGGCAGCGTCCGGCCACAGAGTGCGGGTTGCGAGCGCTGCGGACGGGGTCACATAGACGGAGTGCCCGCCATGACCGTGTCCGCCTGTCCCCTCTGCCCCCCCAGTCCTCGTGCTGATGTTCGTGGCATGGATGAAGCGCCGGGACAAGGAGCGCCAGGCCAAGCAGCTCCTGATCGACCCCGAGGACGACGTGAGGGACAACATCCTGAAGTACGACGAGGAGGGCGGCGGCGAGGAGGACCAGGTGAGCCCGAGCTGACGCTGCGGGGCGAAAGCTGAGGGTCGTGAACTCTGAACAGACGGGAAGGCCCGCGGAGAGATAACAGCACCAGTGCCTGTGGGCACAGTGCTAACCACTGGATGAGCTGTCCCTGCGGGTGCGGCCGCTTCCTGGGCTCTTTGCAGAGCGTCCGGCGCGGTGTTTCCTGTGTGAGAAAGTCACTGGCATTGTCTCAGGGATCCTGGGTTGCAACCCAATCCTAGGTTTATTTGTAGTCGTAAAACATCTACAGTTTTTCTCCTAAATATCCATCGGATATTTAAAAATTAAGTAAAAGTGGTCTCTTATATCGGGGTTTAGGTATGCACAGGGTGTCCCTAAAGGGTATACGCACTGTGAATAATTACAAGGCCTGTGTTCGATAAAATACACCTCATTTTCAGGATTGAGCTACGGCCGGTTAAAGTGTGTGTACACTTTTGGGGGACACCCTGTGTGTGTGTAGGCATTCCCTGCAGGCCCGTGAGCGTGCCTCGCAGCCAGTTTCCCTGGACACGCTGTCCCCTCCCCGCTGTCCTCTCTGGGGAAGGGAAGACCTCGCGTGTTTGATCGCGGGGCCTCGGGTGGGCGTGCTCCGTGGCGCATGGGGGCGGGCTGCGGGGTGGTCAGGGAGCGGCCGGGCCACGCCAGACCGGCTCTGTGTCCGCTGACCTGCCCGGCCCACGGACTCGGCGCCTCTCTTGTTTAGGAGTGGATTTAGGGTCTGTCAGAAGCCTGGGTGTGTGTGAAGCGCTGTGAATATTGGCCCATTCAAGTGGCTCTGTGAATGTGCCCCAGAGTTTCTGGCTTAGAACCGCCTTTGGATATTCAGATTCCTGTTTGGCTTCCTCCTTAATTAATCTGGCTTCCACTCTCCTGAGCCACGTTCAAGATTAGCGAAAACTGCGAAGATCGCGTTATTTCATAAATCTCATACTGGTGTTTTATGTTTCATGTCATTCTCAGTCATTTTCTCGGCCTAAACTTACATCCAACTCCATGAAGCTTCTCTGAAAAAGTCATAAGTACCCAGCCAGCGTGGCTCAGTGGCTGAGGGTTGACCTATGACCCAGAGGGTAGACAGTTCGATTCCTGCTCAGAGCACATACCCGGGTTGAGGACTCGGTCTCCAGTAGGGGGCGTGCAGGAGGCAGCCGATCAGTGTCTCTGTCATCATTGATGTTTCTCTCTCTCCTTTTCCCTTCCCCTCTGAAATCATTAAAAATATATATATTTTTAAAATAGTGCTAAGTGGAAGGACACGGAGCATAACTGGGTGCTGCGTAGAACTGGAGGCTGAGAGGCAAGGCCCACAGGATTTCTCAGCATCCGCTGGTCCGGACCGGGCACCCGCTGGGTCACATGACCTCAGTCCTTCTCGCCCCCATTCCATCCCTGTAGGAAATTGTTTAAGGAAAGGTGATGGCTGTAGTTATTTTAGGAAGGACTTCCTTCCTTCATTGACTTGGTGCGCTCAGATAGATGCTGGAGGCCACGTGGTAAAAGGTGTCTGTGGCCACGATGCAGCCAAACGATCGTCATAAATCCTCCACCCGTTCTCGTCCCGACCGCTGAGGTTTCCTTTGCTCCGAGATAAACCCTCGGGCGTGACCAGGCTGCTTTCCGTCCACCTTCCCGATGGGGGCGGTCTGTCCAGCACGCCTCATCCTCTCAGATCTGTTTCTTCTGTGACTGCCGAGGCCGGTCTTCGCGTTCTGGTCGAGGGATCCCCACACCCTCTGTGACCAGGCAGCCCCTTCGGCCGCTTCCAGGGCCGGAGACGGGGGAAGAGCCCCCAGTTCCCGGACCGGGGTGTGGCTTCCAGGATTGGGGACAGCGAGGGTTGATGACTTAGCTTCTCCTCTGTTCGCCCCTCCACTCTGCATCTTAAAGCGACAGGACATTGAGCCGCCTGGGCATCCCGCCTGTGCCGGTCCCTTCACGCTTTTGTGCCTAACTGGCCACCACGGTTCATCTCCAGATGCCTCTGGCCGTCCCGGCTAAATCAGGCGTCTGCTCTCCGTGTCCCCATGGGAACCCATGCCAGCCTGTATTCTGAGCTCTGAGTCCAGCCCGGTCCTGACCTTGAACTCCCCGAGGAGCGCAGGCTGTCACAGTCACTTCGTCCTCCTGCACGCAGGCCGGCTTCCCCTGGCTGGCCCTCCCGCCCGCCTGCGCGCCGGGCCCTCTCCCCAGAGCTCTGCGTTTGCGACTCTGTGCAGGGCTCGATGCCGCCAGCACGCCCCTGGCAGCCTCTCTTCCCTCTGAGGTGCCCGTGACCAGGGAAGGGCACCGCCTTCGCCGGCGCTGGCACCCGGGCGGCTCTGTGTCCGCCCGGGGCCCGCTCTGAGTCTGCGTGTCTCTCATCGTCGAAGCAGCCTGTGCGGCTGGTGCTGCCATCAGTCCAGTTCCCAACCCAGGCCGGCCTGCCTGGGAGGCCGAGCTCTGCTGCCCGGGGCGGGGTCCGGGGGCATCGGCCTTCTGCCCTGCTGGCCCAGCGTGGGCAGGCAGTGTGGGGGCCCCGGGGCTGGGCCCTGGGCCACAGCTGGTTAGAGGACACTAGTCACCTGGCTGGAGAACAAGCGAGGGTGAGACCCGGTTAACTGGTTAAAGGCGGTTTGCAGAGTGGAGCACATGCAGACATCCACAGCACTAACATCGGGAAATGCGGTCTGTGTGGCCAAGTTATTGTATTTAAAAAGCCAGGCGTGCCATCTGGGCAGCTGGAGCTAAATTCTGAAACCCAGGCTGGGTGCCCAGACAGAGGGATGGGGTGCAGAGACCCGGAAACCCTTGAGGCCCACCCGCCCTCCCTCACTCAAGGTCACTCTGGGCCTGGGGTCAGCTGTGGACTCCTGCCCCACTGTGAGCAGCCAAGCCCCTCGGCCTGCTCTTCAGCAGAGACCAGAACAAAGCGGTGCCGTCTCCCCGTACTGGGTCCTGGGAAACCATTGTTTTATGAAACTGCTGTGCTGTGCAAGCCAGCCGGCCGCTGGCTGCAGCCGGTGCCTCGGCGAAGGCTGCGTCCACATTGACGTTGTTGGCTAGAGCACACTGTTCATTATGTCCCCAGTTACTCCTCTCTCCATCCCCACCTGCAAGCAGGAGTCCCCCACCAGGCATTGCCACTTCTTTACTCCTGATTTTTGGGTTTCTTCTAAGAGGGAATAGTAGGTCATGCTAAGATGGAAGGACCGGCCTTGTCTGAGGGGTGATGTGTCCATTTCTGTTGAGAACGGGGAACTTGGGGTGAGGACGTGGGACTGAGGTGCCTCTGGGAGGCTGGGAAGAGTCTGAGAAACGGGCTCGTCTTGGAGGGGCTCTCCTGACCCCAGGACTGGCTTTGGCTAAGGGTCAGGTTGCAGGAGGAGCATCCTTCCAAAGCCCTTGTTCTGCTAGACCCCAAGGCATGTATGCGGGCCATGCAGCTGGGGCCGGGCTGTGGGGGGCGGCGGGACCCAGGGGCACGGAGACTATGGATGGAGCTCCTGCCAGGCCACGGGGCTGTGGGAAAGTGGCTGCTTCTTTGGCTCCTCGGGGCTGGGAAGGGCATCGGGCACAAGGCAGCACCCACGTCCCCGTGGAGCCATAATGAGTGTGGGCGCCACTTCCCGGAGCACTGTAGCTGCTCAGTCCCATACGGCCCACCGTGCAGCCTGCCCACAGAGGTGCCTGGGATCCCAGAATTTGTTTCAGCCGGGGCAGCGTTTTTTCCCACACCTTCTCTAGCACGGCCAAGTGCCTGCAGGAGACCCGTGATACCATTTTCTGAGCCAGCCATGAATCACCGCCAGGCAGTGGAGGGAACCAGAAACGCCGGGACCAGAACTTTAGCTGCTGATTTCCTCGTCATTCTCCCCAAATCATATCCCGCGGAAGACACTGTCCATCAGAGGTGGAAGGAAATGTGTTTTCCGCCACTTGCAGCGTTAATCTTTGAAAAACTCTATCCCAGGCCTATTCCCAGGGTCATTGCCAACTAGCTCGTGCTCCAAACCTCAGTAATGTCCTCGGCTGTCCTGTGAAGTCCCATCTCTTTGGGAAGTTCACATCCTAAAGGTGGACAAACGTGAGGATTTCCCGGCTCTGCTTTTTCTCCAGAGTTTTGAAGACTTCTTGTTGAGTTGTTTCTTCTCTATAATCTTCAGAATGAAGGCCAGGAACCCAGTGACCTTGAGCATGGTCTGAAGTCTCTGTAATTCTCTTTATAATTCTCATCCTACACGTTGTAATTCGTGTGAGGAGAGCAGCACAGGCTGGTAAAGACGCATAATTTAGAGGGTTTGTCCCTTCTCAAAGGGCTTAAAACGGGAGCCTGGGGTCAGGACCTCTGCCCCCAGCACCCTCATGTGGACAGCGTGCCCACTTCCGAACCCTGAGCACTCCCGCCCGCCTCCTGCCAGCAGCGGACTTTTATATCCGTATTTGCCATAGACCAGTAGAAACCATTAGAGAAACTTTTTTTTTTTTTTTAAATATTTATATTGCCCTAACAGGTTTGGCTCAGTGGATGGCGTGTCGGCCTGCAGACTGAAAGGTTCGATTCTAGTCAAGGGCATGTACCTTGGTTGCAGGCACATCCCCAGTGGGGGGTGTGCGGGAGGCAGCTGATCTAAGTTTCTCATAGATGTTTCTCTCTCCTCCCTTCTTCTCTGTGGAAAATCAATAAAATATATTTAAAAAAATGTCTTTACCATTGAAAGTTTTACGTAGGTCCCCTTTTCCCCCCATTAACCTCTCCCAGCCTGCTCTCGTTCCTCCCCCTCCGCCTCTTACTCCTCCCCTCTCCCCACCCCCCCAGGCCTCACCACCCCATTGTCCGTGTCCACAGGTTATGCCTGTGTGCAGACAAGTTCGCTGGTTGATCTCTTCACACCCACCCTCCCCTACCTTCCCTCTGAGGTTCCACAGTCTGTCCACGCTTCTGTGGCTCTGGGTCTGTTTTTGTCCATCAGTTCATTCTGTTCATGGGGTTCCACAAACGAGTGAGATGACCTTTCTCGTCGTAGAGAGGCATGTTTTAATCCAGCTCCCAGCTTCCTGCTGTGGGTTCTCCTTTCTCCCGGCCCATATATGGCTCAGGGTGCAAAGCCAAAGCCGGTTTCCCCACGCTGAGTCTGCGCTTTGCCAGCAATCAAGTTCACGTGCCAGCTGCCCTGTCCTGCTCCATGCACCTGCCACCCCTCCCCTGTCGCATGTGCTCTCCCCCGGGGCGGCCCCTCCCCCGCTTCTTCCCCAGCTAGCTCAGTTAGCTCGGTGAGCTCGGTGAGCTCGGCTGAGGCTCTGGGAAGCAGCTGTGCAGGGCGGTGGGCCCAGGCGACAGAGGGAAGTTTGAGGTCAGCGTTTGGAAGTCGGACACATCTGGCTTTGGTTCCCATCCTGATCGTAGACTTGCTATGTGACCTTGGGCAAGTTACTGGACCCCTCTAGTCTGCCTCTTCCTTTAAAGGCGCTAATAAAACCCTCTTTATGGGCTTGTCACAAGGTGCTGGTGAGCGGGCCCTTATCGAGGGGCGGGTGTGGTGCGGGCTGGGAGGGTCTGCATGCCTGTGGCCGTCTCCTCGGTCCCAGAGTGGTTCCAGGCATTCCTCACATTCCGGTCCCTCCCCACTCCTCTCTCCCATGCTCAGGCTGGACCCGCAGGGCGAGGGTCACGGCTTTGAGGTCTGATGCGCTGGAGTCCGTCTGTCTGTCTCTGAGCCTCAGTGGCTCTGGGACTGACCAGGACCAGCCACTTGGGCTTCTGGAGACTCAGCCTCCTGGACTCTCCAATGGAGACGCTGCAACTGAATGTCCACCGCGCTGTTCAGGGCGTCAAGTGAGAAAACACGGGTAAAGAGCCTAGACCCGTGGTCGGCAAACTCATTAGTCCGCAGAGCCGAATCTCAGCAGCACAAAAACTGAAATTTCTTCTGAGAGCCAAATTTTTTAAACTTAAACTCCTTCTGAAGCCACTTCTTCAAAATGGACTCGCCCAGGCTGTGGTATTTTGTGGAAGAGCCACACGCAAGGGGCCAAAGAGCCGCCTGTGGCTCAGGAGCCACAGTTTGCCGACCACGGGCCTAGACCATCCCAAGCCTTGAATAGATCAGAGCTGCCAGCGGGTCACCTGGCTTTGACAGAGAGGAAGCTGTGTGATGAAGGCATCAGAACCTGTGAATTCCAGCATTAAACGGGGAGTTTTCCGCTAAGCGGGGGGTATGGCGCCTCATGTCGCTGGAATCGGGGGCTCCATCTGCAGAGCGTCTGCCCGCACCTGAGAGTCTGGTGCGTCTCACAGTATACGGGCCCGCTGGTGGTGTGGAAGCTGGACGGGTGCTGAAGGCCAGGCCTGCCCAGCCCTTCCCCCCCCGCTGGGCGGGCCCAGGCCACTTTCTGAGATCCCACGGGGGCCAGAGGGTGGCAGACCTTGTCCCCTGTCCGTGACGAGCCATGCAGCAAGGGCTGCGGGCCACACACCGTCTCTGGGCGCAGGCGCCATGTTGTGGTGGTCGGAGTTTAACCATGTGAACGCCGGGCTTAGGAAACCAGGAAGCGGGTCAGAGGGAGCCTTGGACTCCGCACTGGGACGGGACGGAGGTAAAGCGTGGCGCAGAGACCAGCATGGCCTCGTACCTCCACTGGGGGAAAGGGGACACCTGCATCGGTTTAAAACACATTTTTATAAACGTCCTAATGGAGAAACAAGCTTTCCTCCGCCCCAGAGGGTCCGCATGTGTGACCTCCTTGCACTCCCCGGGATCTCCCCGGAGAATAAAACCCAGGACGTGGCCAGGGCGGGAAGCTGCCGGACAGGCGGGGCTGGGCTCTGCAGGAAGCGGAGGGAACTGACAAGGAAGGTGAATGAATGGGAGAAGCAGGAGGAAGGCCAGAGACTGAATTCCCCCGGCGCCCAGCTTGTCCTCCCTCCTCCCGGTCCCAGAGGGGTCCTGCATGGGGGAGCTTTAGGGGAACTCCTGTGCCCAGGGCGATTGGGGGACAGGGGAGAAGGCCGCAGTGACCTTCCTGTGTCTGTCGTTTTGGGAAGTTCCTCCCACGTAAAGCACGCAATGTGGGAAGGTGCCCGTGGGAGGGCAGTGGGTCCCGTCGTCGCCTCTGCTGCTTTGGTGCAGCCGGGTTTCCCAGTGCGTTTGTCACCAGTGGGGCCTCCTGTCACCACCCTGCCCCTCGGGAACAGAGGAGGAGTAGTAGGGGCGGATGGAGCACAGGCTGTGGGGTGAGAAACCAGAGGCAGAGCCAGAGGGAGAGACCTCATGGCCAGAACCTCTCCCGGGGCCACGCAGCCGCCGTGGCCCCGCACTCACCCCCTGCCCGCCGGCCTGTCTCCGCAGGACTACGACCTGAGCCAGCTGCAGCAGCCGGACACCGTGGAGCCCGACGCCGCCAAGCCCGTGGGCATCCGCCGGCTGGACGAGCGGCCCATCCACGCCGAGCCCCAGTACCCCGTGCGCTCCGCCGCCCCGCACCCCGGCGACATCGGGGACTTCATCAACGAGGTACGCGGCCCTCCCTCCGCCTCCGTCTGCCCTGCCGCTCCGGCTGGTTCCGGGGAGACCCCGAGGGCGGGGGCGCAGCGGTGTGGTCCCACGTGTCCTCCTTCAGTGTGTCTGTCCGGGTGAGCATGAGCCACGTGGAGGTGCCTGATCGGCCTGAGCAGGGTCTGTCCGTGCATCCCTGCCTTTGTGTAGGCCGGCAGGGAGTTCCAGAAACCTCTGTGCACACACCCGAGTAATGAGAAGGGCCGTGCTGATTAATACACACTCCATTTTCAAACCAGGGCGCTCTGCTGTCACAGCGTGTACATTTTGGGGGAACACCCTGTATATTATCAGGATAGGCCAGTGGTCTGCAAACCGCGGCTCGAGAGCCACATGTGGCTCTTTGGCCCCTGGAGTGTGGCTCTTCCACAAAATACCACGTGCGTGCACGTGCACGTACCATGTGATTGAAACTTCGTGGCCCATGCGCAGAAGTCGGTTTCTGGCTCTCAAGAGAAGTGTCAGTCGTCGTACTGTGGGTATTTGGCTCGGCTGGCTAATGAGTTTGCCGACCGCTGGTATCGGCTATTTCCTGAAATTGTAAGCAATCCATAGACTAACCATATGAAAAGGCGTTTTCCAAGTCCATCCCTCAGCGCCGATGAAGGTCAGAATAGCTCACTTTCATTTCCCTCGCTTTGCACCCTCCAAACCCACAAACGGTGAGAATCCAGGGCCCCCGCTGACCAGAGAGCGCTGTCAGCCCAGCCCAGCAGGAGGAGCAGCGAAGTTAAATACTACGGAGGTGCTGTAACTGCTTGTCTGGTTGAGGAGTTTTAAGCACCTGGAAAAGGCAGCTGATTCTCTGCTGAACGTAACGGATATGATTCCCACTGTCAGCACCTCCCGGCACTCTCTTAGGTCATTACTGACCCGGAGACTGGGACACGTCTCGCTTCATCTGATCATGTCTGTGGTCCGGCCGCAGTCCTCCTTTTGACTGTTGGGTAGGAGTGTAGGAGCGGTGCCTGTTGATACTGACGGTGAGTGTTCGGCAGGACTGGGTCTGCAGCCAGACGATCCCGCTCAGTCTGTCCAAGACGAGGACAGGGGTAAATCCAGGCCGAGGCTGTGCCTGGCTGAGGGCAGCCAGCAGGAGCTGGAGCACATGGGTAAATGCATTTCAAAGGGCAACAGCGCTCTCTGTCCTGAGTCATCTTTGACTCAGATAGTACCCAGGGGCCCAAAGGAAGAATAATTAATTCAGCGGCGATTAGAATAGGGGCGTTTTATAGATGTGAGGGACAGGTAAGCTCGGGAGGACGTTTTACAGTTTGTTGGTTTTGTTTGTTTGTTTATATAATAATGAATTTTGCCTCAACTCTCAAGAATGATAACATTTCCAGCCTGGCAGGCAAAGGAAAACAAATCACACGATTTTTAATTCCAGCTACAGCCTTTCGTTCCATGTTGAGGTTTTTAAACGTGACCTTCAGAAGCTGAGAAGTGGAGGCACATTTATTCCATCGCAGCCCAGCAGTAGGGATTAGCGCACCTCCAGTAATTTCACTAATCCCGTCTGCTCCTTTATCTCGGAAGCACAAAAACCAAGGCGTCCTTCCGTTAAAAAAAACGACATTTGATTGTTATCATTTAAACATGTAGGGAAGGTGCTTTTGGAATAACTTGCTTAAAACTATGGAAATTGAAAACCTGGCTTTGGTGCCTACGGATTAAATTCCATCCGTTCTCTTTGAAATGCCTCCGCCTGGGGCCGTTGGGTTCCAGTCCAGTGGCCTCGCCAAATAGCTCCGTGACCTTGTACGAGGTCCGGATCCTTGGTGTCACCTGTTGGGCTTCCTGTCTGCTTCCTATAAAGGAGGGTAAGGATAGCACTTCCCTCTAAGATGGCAGTGGGGCGGATGCGAGCTAATCCACCTGCAAGTGCTGGGTCTGTGCCTGTCAAATAAGAAAGCATCTTCATGATTATCCGTATTATATCATTATTATTGCAAATTGCCTTCCTACTGTCTTCTGGTTATAAATAGGAACATAAAAACCTCCTCTTTTTAAAAAACCGCTTTTGAGTGACATGAAGTTCCCAGAAAGGGCCTCGGTGATGCCGGTGTGGCTGAGGACAGATTCCCGCTGTCTGGTGAGCGTGGTGCACCCTCGGGGCCATGTGTGTACCCACCGCTGCTCGCTTCTGCCGAGAGGGGCGAGTATAAATGTGCACAGGGCGCTGAGATGCCGTACATAAGCCCAGGACAGCGGCCCTCCCGAGTGCCCTCCTCACGCCTGCTGGACGCCAGGCTGGGCGCCGGCCGTGGGAGGAATGCAGGCGGCCCCTGCGAGGAGGGGTGCCGTGGAGTTCAGCTGACACCTGGCAGGAGAAGCTGGGGGACCACAGAGCCCCCGGCAGTGACTCCCAGACACCGCGGAGGGACAGCCGTGCAGAAGTGGCATTTTAATAGGCCTCACAGGATGGACAGGGGGATGGGTGGGTGGGTGGGTGTTGATCGGGTGAAAAAATATTTCAAACAAAGAGATTCACAAAGAACAAGCCCACTGCCTGGAGGACAGGAGCACGGGGCGGGGACAGGCAAGGAGAGGGTTTGGGGGCGAAATCAGCGGTGGATGCAGGAAGGAAGCACCCCCAAGGCAGACAAGGGGGTGACCCTCTGAGACCGTCCCCTCCGGGTCCCCTGACATCAGGCTTTTAAGGAAGGACTTTAGTTTTCCCCACATCTGCAAACTCTCCTGGATACTTAAACTGTTTAATCAGTTTTGACTTAATTTTTTATTAGAGCGGATTACTGTAAGGGCTCCTGCACTGATTAAAAATCATCTCGCGTGTCTCCAGGGAGACGCTCCTGTCCTTGGTAACTAGGTGATGGAGAGCAATCAGAGGATTGGGCTGGGGAGAGGGAACCCACTAACACAGGAGAGGGAGCCAGGGGAAGCAGGGACCATCCGGGGAGCAGGAGACTGTGAGAGAGACTCGTGCTGTCCCGGGTGAGGAGGTGATAGGGGCCTGAACCGAGGCAGCGGCAGAGACAGGAGGCCATGGGCCTCCCTCCCACCGCTCCTTCACGGAGGAAGGTGGGTGTGGCTGGTCCCTGGGAGGGCACCACAGGATCAGAGCCTGTGGATACCGGCTCAGCAAGGCCTCAGGCCGCCTCAGCTCTCCTCTCACAGAGGCGCCTGGGACTGTGGAAATGGGTAGTTCAACCAGCCGATGGCTCCGGGGCTGAGCATCCACCTATGAGCCAGGTCGGAGTTCGGTTCGGCACCTGCCTTGGGATTGGGGGCTCGATGCTCAGTGTAGGGCGTGCAGGAGGCAGCCGGTCAACGAGTCTCTCTCATCGTTCATGTTTCTACCCCTCTCTCCTTCTCCCTGCCTCTCTGAAATCAATACAAATATATTTAAAAAGAAGCAATGTGCCTTGATTTGAATAAATGTCAAAAAAATAAATAAATAAATAAATAAATAAATAAATAAATAAATAAATAAAGGTGCGTGTTTTGGCTGCTGCTCTCTAAGGCTGCAGTAGCAAACAGCTTAAAGAGGCGACTTAGAATAACAAAGCCTTTCTCAGTCACAGGGTAACTGGGCCTGCAGTGCCCGGGCCCTGGGTCTCCCGCCTCTGAGGAGGCGGAAGGGGAACTGCCCTCCAGGGGCCCTGCTCTGGCTGAGGAGCCGGCGGAGACATGGCCGCTGGAACTCTGTAGAGCATCCCTAGCCCAGGCCAGGGCGGCTCAGTGGGTTGGAGTGCTGTCCAGTGCACCAAAGGGTTGTGGGTTGGAAAGGCTGGGGTGCATGCGAAGGCAACAGATTAATGTCTCTATCACACTAATGTTTCTCTCCCCTCCCCCTTCGCCCTTTATCTCTCCTTAAAAAAAAAAAAAAAGAAAGAAGGAAATAAACCCTCCAGTGAGAATGTAAAACACACAGAATCTCATCTGCACAGCTGCCTCCATTCACTGGCCAGTCCAGCCCCGGCCCAGCCTGCGGTCGGTGGGGAGGGCATGCCGGCTCGCCCAGGGGGCCCTGTGGTCTGGGCGGGGGCTCTGCCTGCAGGAAGGCCTCCCGAGTCACTGAGGAAAGAAGCCATGAATTTGGAGAAAAATTATAGCCTGTGGCTCCCGGCCTTCACAGACTGACCATGTGGTTTATTCTATAAATACGACGAAGAAAGTGCCATCTCAACTTGTTTTTTATGGGCTGTCGTCGCTGTGCCCTTAAAAGAGAGGAATACCTGGTCCCAGTTTATCAGTCAGGCTCCCGCTGCCTGCTGGGTAAGGCCGCACATGGTTCACGCGTGAGTTGCCTTAGGTTATAAGCCAGAGGGCCTCGGCTTCACTCTTCCTTGGATGTCCTTCCGAGTTCAGGTCGACCGCCAGCCACTTCCTCCTGGAGCGCCTAGTTCTGGGTGCGGGTCTGAGTTGTTTTTCCTTTTTGTTTTCTTTTTGGCAGCGCCCTGAGGCCTGTGGCCTGTGCTTTCTCCAGTCACACCCCTCCCAGTGTACATCTTGGCTTCGCTGACCTGGCTCCCTAGGGCCGTGGTCGGCAAACAGCGGCTCGCGAGCCTCGTGCGGCTCTTGGGCCCCTGGAGGGCGGCTCTCCCACAGAACACCACGGCCTGGGCGAGTCTGTGTTGAAGAAGTGGCGTTAGAAGAAGTTTCAGTTTAAAAAAATCTGGCTCCCAAGAGAAACTTCAGTCGTTGTGCTGTTGATATTTGGCTCTGTTGACTAAGGAGTTTGCAGACCACTGCCCTAGCGGTTCTTGCTTTAGAGAAGAAAGACAGAAAAGTTTTGTCTAATTTCTTAAAATTTATCTTTGTTGTGGAAAGTCATACAGATGCTTTTTTTCTCTCCCATTGACTCTAGCCTGCCCCCCACCCCCCTACCTAGGCCTCCATCACCCTGCTGTCGGTGTCCACGGGTGATGCATACAAGTGCTTTGCTTGATCTCTTCCCACCCACCCACCCTTCCCTCTGAGGTCCCACAGTCTGTCCCATGGTTCTGTGCCTCTGGATCTGTTTTGTTCACCGGCTTACTGTGTTCCTTGGATTCAACAACTGAGTGCCATCTGGGACCCTCCTCCTCCTCCTCCTCCTCCTCCTCCTCCTCCTCCTCCTCCTCCTCCTCCTCCTCCTCCTCCTCCTCCACCTCTTCTTCCTCCTCCTCCTCCTCCTCCCCGCTCTTTTCGCTTTCGCTTAGCGTGCTTACTCCTGAGACAGGGCGCTAACCCCGGGCTCCGGGGGAAGGCTGTGGCCTGCCGGTGGACACTGGCCGCCCAGCGCCGGGCTGCGGCTGTCCCGCGGTAACGCTAACCCTCTCCTCGTCCCTCTCCTCCCTCCCCACCGCAGGGCCTGAAGGCAGCGGACAACGACCCCACGGCGCCGCCCTACGACTCGCTCCTGGTGTTCGACTACGAGGGCAGCGGCTCCAAGGCCGGCTCGCTGAGCTCGCTCAACTCGTCCAGCAGCGGCGGCGAGCAGGACTACGACTACCTGCACGACTGGGGGCCGCGCTTCAAGAAGCTGGCCGACATGTACGGCGGCGGCGACGACTGACCGCGGGCCGGACCGGCGGCGTCCGCGCTGCGCCCCCGGCCGGAGCGGGGCTCGACGTGCGGCCCGGCCGGGCGTGGGCCCCGCTGCCCACCAGGCGGCCCGGAGGCCGCCGCCGCGAACTCGGAGCTCAGTCACACTTGAATTCTGCAGTACAGAAGCACTGGGATTTTATGTGCCTTTTTGTACCTTTTTCAGATCGGAATTAGTTTTCTGTTGGAGGCTTTAACGGTACCGGTTTCTGACACGAGTCGTCGGGACAGACTGGCTTGTGGGGGAGCAGGGGAGCTAGGCCGCGACGCGCGCTTCAACACGCTTTGGTTCCATCGCATTCGCGCTGATTGGGATCCCGAGGTAAACACGCAAACGTTCAAAGCACTCATGGAGCCTTTTTACTGTCCGGGGTGGGCGGGGGGAGGCCGTGAGATTGGGAAAAAAATGTACGTTACTCCTAGTTTTAGACTTTAGATTTTCTTTTTCCACTAAAATCTCAAAACGTGTGCAGCTGGTTGCGGAGAAAGGGAGTTTTCATATCACCCGTTTGTAGCAAAGTTTGGATGTTTTTCATAAACTAGGATGTTAGGCACATTTGGTCTTAATCCGTGTACGCTTTTTTTTTTTTTTTTTTAATTGGCTGTTTTTCTTTTTCACTTCACTGTACAAATGGTATGTGTACATAATGTTTTATCGGCATAGTCTATGGAGAAGCGGAGAAACTGCAGGACACGTGTGTATGTATTATTTGGACAAAGGATTCAGGTTTTTTGCATGTTTATATCTTTCGTTATGGTAAAGTATTTACAAGCCAAGTGACATTTGATTCGATGGTTGAGCTGTAGTTAGGATACTCAATTTTTAATTTTTTAATTTTTTTTAAGTTTTTTTTTGTTTTTGTTTGGGGAGGGAGAAAAGTTCTTAGCACAAATGTTTTACATAATTTGTACCAAAAACAAAACAAAAAAAAGAGAGGAAAGGAAAGGGGTGCACTGGTGCGGGCGGCACTGCTGTGTGTGTTTTCGAGAAAAAAAAAATGGGGGGAAAAGCTTTTAAACTGGAGGAACTTCTGACAACAGCTTTGCCACTGTATTGTGTACCGGAATATACACGAACACCCCAGCGTTCTGAATAAAATGCTAATTTTGGATCTGGTGCCTGGTTTGAGCTTTTTTCCCACGTGAGCTGCTGTGAAGGGTACAGAAACCCCAGGTCCCGGCGTTGCGGTGAGAACAGCAGCACAGAGGTGGGATTTGCTTTTGTGCTTTTCACCCTGGAACCCTTGGTGGGCAGCCGGGCCCAGGAGCAGCAGAGAGGACCTGTGGATCTTCCCGTTCCCACAGAGACGGGCACGAAGGGAGGCAGGAACAGGCGGCCCGGCGGGCCACACATCCATCCTTACCCGCAGCACCTGGTGCCGTCCCTCCCTCACCTGTGCTCCGATTCCCTCCTGCTCCGCGTGTGCTGACGGCCTTCTCCTTTCCGCCACCGCAACAGGAAGTCCGCAGTTCAAAGGGGCGGACTGGCCTGGACACTAGGTTTCTTAGCAGATCCCAAGGCCATTGTTTATGTACGTAGTAAAATGTACGTGGGTTTGATCTACTTCCACTGGTTGACGTGACAATTTTCCCCCCAGCTTTATTGAGCTATAATCTACGTTAATAAAAGAGAAATATGCAAATTGACTGTACCTCTGCCACACCCATCAGCCAATCAGGAGTGAGTATGCAAATTAACCCAACAAAGAAAGGTTAATTTGCATATGCAGACATGGAGCCAAGACTGAAGGCTCCGACCCAAGTGTAGACTGAAGACTGAGAGGCTTGGCTTCTCTACTGTGGCCAGAGGGAAGGCCTGGGTCCCAGATGCTGGAGGAAAACCAGTGATGGCAGCCAAGGAAGGAAGGCCTAGTGCATGAATCTCTGTGCACCAGGCCTCTAGCTGATAAATAAAATCGTGTGTGTGTGTGTGTGTAGTATGTATGTGTGTGCAATGTGATGATCTGATGTATGTGTACATTATAAAATAATGTCCACACAAGTTAAGGCATCCATCACCTCACATAGTTACCTATGCATGGCTGTTTGGGTGTAATTGTGTATGTGTGTGGTTGTGTGGTGATGACACTTAGGATCTATTTGCTAAGAAAATATAAAGTGTACAGTATAGTAGTAGCCTGATGGAGTCATAGAGGAAGAAAATGGAAATGATCTTACTAGCTTTTGTGAAATGGTTTCTGTATCTCACTGTGATTAGTGAGTTTTAAGAGATGAAGGAATTCTCCCTGTATCTTTGTTTGCTTCATGATCCTTATTACACTGTAGATGCCTATACTGTCCAGTCTGAGAAACACTTATACAGTACACCTCCTCTAATGAACTCCAGCACTTCTGTGCTATTTTTGTAATAATTAAATGCCAGAGCTTGCCTCTAGGGGTTTCTGTAATGAAACTTACTGAATTTGCTAATTGAAATAGTCTTTTCTAAGATGTATTTCTAGACGGGGCCTGTGGTACTGTACACCCAAATGAAAACTGAGCTGTTTTTACTTTATTCACTGATGACACTAGTACAAATTTTTATATCAAATTTTGCAATATTTCAAATTTTCCTCCCTTAGGTAAACACTCTTTTAATTTTCTTACAGTTACTGTACAGTCACAGCCACAGACTACATCTCATACATGCATAAACTTTGAGCACTAATAATAAGCATTCTATATATAATCAGTAAATGTAAACATTATCTTTCAAAACGTACCATTATTTGCAGAAATAATACATGAATCTATTTCCTTGTGAAAACGCTTTTCAAAAAATCAAAACAGGAACCAATAAAAAGTGAAAGCCCCTGCCCTGCTTTTGGAGAAATTTTCATTAGCCTTTTGATGTGTAATTTGATTTTTTTAATAAGCACTTTTATTCACACACTATAGGCACAGTGCAGGAATTCAGCACAGGTGGGGCCCCTTAGCCTGGCCAGTGATCGGGCCTGAGAGGGGGGCTGGCCAGGGAAGGGGACATGGGTGGTTGGTTGGGGGGAACTCAGATTGGGGCCAGATCTGTCCGGTTGGCCACTGCAGGGCAGGTGATAGTGACCAGTTGTTCTGGCCACTCCAGTCAGTTGTTCTGCTGTTCTGGTCACCGAGCTTTTATATATATAGATTTCTAGAAAGACTATGTTTTCATGAAAATTGTATGTGATATATTTTCTATAACTTGCTTTATTTCACTAAAGCATGTGTCTTGGATAATTTTCCCATATTAGTAAAAATAGGCATATATCATCATTTTAATTGCTACATAGCATTGTTTAATATGAACATAGTTCATTTAACCATTTCTTAAGTCGTTTTCACATTTTTTTTCACTACTTGAAACAGTGGGACATCTCACATCCGTGCCTCAGACAGGAGGCATTCCACTGAGCTGAGTGAAGTTGGGATTGCTAGATGAAAGAGTGGAGAGAAGTAAATTAAATATGGCTGAAATTATAGTTCCCACGTTATAGTTCCTTCTTCCAGTGCCCTTTAGCTCAGAGAAGATGGGGCTAAGCCCGCAACTTCCTGCCTGGGCAGGAGGATTGTGGGCAGCTCAAAACAGTGACCACAGAATGTACGAGAAGCCAGCCAGGGCCTTAGTCCTTTTTCTTTGGAAGTGAGCCTGGGAGGGAGGCCACAGTAGTAGTTTCAAGTCCTCCATGAAGTGAATGGAACGATGTGGCAAACTATTTCTGAGTGTGGTTCATGGATCCCATCCAGAGCCATGTCTCCCAGGCCATCCCCAGTGACCGGGATCTAGTCTGCCATGTAGCCAATAAAACAGAGTGCTGGGGTCTTGTTGGGATGGGTCCTTTGCCAAGATAAATGTGTATGCATTTTGAATGTTAATGAAACGTGGCCAAAAAAAATTATCCTAATTAAAGACCACGCCAATTGACACTCCTATCAGCACTCCACAGAAACCTATTGACCCTCATCCTCCCCAGTCTGAAACGTGGCACAGGGTTAAACGTTTTGCCGATATGATGGACAATGAGAGATACCTCATGCTAATTATGGCTTTCCTGATTGCTAATGAGATGGATTAGAGATTTTTTTTTCTTGTTTATTAGCTCGTTGTGTTTCTTTAAATTGTCTGTTTTAATTTCCCTGTTGAATTACTTGGTTTTTCCAATTAATTAATGAGAACTCATTGTATGCATTACCCACCTACCCCACCCCCCTCCCCGGCTGTTCACTAATCCTGTAAATTCATCTCCGGTGTTTTTGTCTCACCGAAACTTTTGTTTGAAGTGGGTTCCTCTGTCAGTGTTTTCAACTCTAGATTTTTTTTAGGTCTTCCCATCTCCAAGGTATAAACTAATTATCCCTGTGTTGTTTTCTGTATTTTTATTCTATTACATTTAGTTAGCTTTTTAATTTGATTGGAAATGGGTTTGTATCCAGTAGAAATCTAACTCTTAAAAATTCATCGATTCACCCAGTCATCTGAAATGCAACATGAGTCATAGGAGCATTTCCCATATAAATGCTTGTTTCTAGGTCATTGGCCCTGTTCCATCGATTATTTTTATTTAATTCCTGCACAATACTAGATTATCTTGAATATCAGTTCTGACAAGCCATTTCACCCACTGTTCTTTTCTTTCATTACATCTGCTCTATTCTTTTTCAAAATTTTATTTTGTGCGTGCATATTAGGAACATTTTGTCACGTTCCATAACAAATTTTATTGGAACTTGTATTGAGTTGTGAAATGTTTATAGTTTCACCTATCACCTCATCCCTCACATGGATCATAAGAATTGTTTTGGGTCATCTTATAAAGATTTTGTATATTTCATCATTTATATAATATTTAATGTAGACATAGATGTATTCTATGGTATTTCTAGCTTACTTTGAGATTTGATGAATATACATGTTACATTTTATAAAATTCCTTCCCTTAATATACAGAGATGATATTAACCCATTAATAATACAATTAGATTTGCTAATATTAA